GAAACCTTCTTCGGTTTGGCCTTACTCTTCGTCCGCTTGATATTCCACGTGATCGCGCAGTGGTCCGAATCTCCCAAGTTATCCTGTACCTTAACGTCTCGTGCCAGATCGTCGTTCGTCGCAAAAACTAAATCCAATAAAGCTTCCTCGCGAGTCGGTTCATTTACGTACTGTGAACTGAACATACTGAACGAGAAGAGCGTCCTAAACCGCAACGAGAAATTCCCTATCCCTTTCGTACCCCCCTTGAGGCACCGACCAATCTATTTTTGGCATGTTAAAGTCTCCGAAGAGCAATACCTGCCTCGAGATCTCGCCGATCCTACGCATGAGTGCAAAATAAGCTGCTTCATCCTCGAGAGGAGAGTTAGGGGGCCTATAGCAAATTCCTATCACGATCTTCCCAGTTGCCCCACCGATCTCGCACCATAAGTGTTCGATTGCTCCACAGTTAGCCGAGGTGAGATCTTCTCTGACGCGAACGCCCAGTTCGGTTTTACCGTACAAGACGACTCCTCCCCCCTTTCTGCCGAGCCTATCCTTCCGCAAGATGTCGTACCCTTCGATCTCGAATTCCTTATCCGAAATGTGAGAACCACCCCACGTCTCGGTTATTCCGATGACATCGAAACCGCATGTAAGGAAGAGAGGGCATACCTTCAATAAAAGAGGTCATGTTTAGCCTGTGGAGCGTATATTAAAGGTGATACGAATTCATTCGTAAATTGCCGTAGGCGGGTTAATCCCTCAGGCCGGTTTGCCGTACTCCATACGCGCGACTTTTTTTTGCCATAGGCGGTTAGCAATTTAAATACCGGCTTGAGGGGTTAAGAATGCTTCCCGCGATTGCGTCACAGGCTACAGACAATGGGGCAGCATTTCTCAATTCATTGAGCGCAGAGCAGCTTGGGTTTGAGGACTTGCCATGTTCACTGAGCTTGGAGTTCAAGAGACCTGAAAACCAATGCCAACATCCTCAATGAGAGGGTTTCGCAATTATATATCATGCCAAACTGTAGCATGTTTGCGCAAAACTAGGAGTATATTTTATACTTTATATTATATCTACCTTGCTGTACGACACAGGGGTCTCAGTCTCAAACAGCGTCAGGGAGCCTGCACCATTCGATGGGCTCGTCAGGTTTGGAACCTAGGCTCTCCTGTCTTGGAAACCTTGCTCGTTGCCAACAGTGCTAAGCCTGCGAGCACTTTGGAACAAACTCGGATCCTATCATAATTCTAGTCCGGACAGAAGACTTTTTCCTAATCCTAGGCACAGCTCGAGTAAATTGATAAAAGATAAATTTGGATTAATTAAGCAAAACGAGAGGGCCAGCGTTTTGTTCAACGGAAATCATTGTGAAGTGCTGACAACACTGGAGGAAAGGCGAAGAACGACGACAGCCACATTGGATTGGCCTAGACTGGTGGCTGACTGGGGAGGAAGTGGAATTCTGTTCGTTTGTGAATCCTCTCATTCCCAAAAATGTTCCGATCACTTGCCACGAAGGCGTACTCAAGTACCGCACGATGTTTGAAAACCAACTCAGGATTTCCCGGTATGGCTTAAGGCTAGGTTTTCGACTAACGTTATTGTGAAGTCCTGTTCATAAACTAATCAATGCTGCTGGACTGTTTTGTTCAGACTTTGGCTTTTTAAAAGTGTTCTTAATCGCCGTAGCAGAATGCAGTTTTTTCGCTAAATTTTCTGCAGTATTGGCCCCGAAGAGGTCTGTGTCCTAGGCTGCTAACTTTTCACTTGCCAGAATTTTTTTTTTCAAGCGTCCGACTCGAGTGATAACCAATATAGTTCTAGGCCTGCATGTCTAGTATTCTGTAAATCACTATACTATTTAAAGAAATCATACCTTTTGAGCAGTTGGTGCAAAGAAGAACTAACATTTATTGAGATAATATGTTGTTTGATCTGGGGACGATGTTAAACTTTACAGCCTTATGGATTTCTTTTAGAATCTCATTTCAATGAACAAAAGTAAAATCTAAAATCACATCAATCACAAAACACTGTTTTGGCGTTTTTTCAAGAATACAGATGCCAAAGTAACGAAAATTAAATGCTATGTTTGTATACCTGTCAAATGCAACCACCATATTATATTAGGCAGGCCTCGAGGGCATGATACTCTGACTAAAGTTTCATTTTTTGAGTTTTCACTGAACCCAAGTGCACCGCATGAGAACTAACTATAAACACATAAAAAGGGAGCCACATCCTTCTGTGTTGGGCCGAAAAAGTGAGAAAGTCAACCTATTTTGGAGAATGATGGGTCAATTGGGTTAGAAAAGGGTCATGGCCTTTGTCCAAAATAGGTTGATTTTCTCACCCTCTGGCATTTGACACTGAACCTGGGAGAAAATAATGGGAATCCATCAACCATGCTAGTGCAATGATGGGTCCAGCTGCAGTGAAGATGAAATTAGTGAAGGTGTAAAGTTGTATACTGTAGCCATTTGAACTTAGCCAAAAATGAGGACCATCTGACCCTTCAATGTGCGTAAACATTCCCTCTGCCTATATCAATCCATTTTGTATGAGACTCTGTCCCAAAAAATCACCCAAATTCCCTCTGAATTCTGATAAAACTCTAAAATCTCTTTTCAGGAGATATTGTTTCTTCTTGTTTCAGGGTCAATGGCCAAGCTATTTCTTTTAATGAAAGCGAATTAAGTTGACTTTTTATTGTTTCTCAAATCTGTCTGAAATTAGAAGAAAAGTACAAAGTTAGGCAATTTTGTAAATGAGGATTAAAAAACTTTTGCCATAAATTGCCCTAAACAAGTACATCTTTTAAACATAATTTGAAAGCAGGTTCTGTTTGAATCAGATTGAAAGTCATAACTGTGAAGTAATTTTAAAGAACCTTCCTTTCATCAATGCAAGCAAACATGGCCTGCTCTTAGCATTTTGGAAAATATTGAAATTTGAAATGATATAGTGACTTATGGAATATGCCTGTTTAGGCATGGGCCTGTTCAGCTGAAAATTGGCCAGGTGTGATTGGTTAACTGTATAGTAAATTGTCCCATCAACTGTTTGTACATTGTTGCAGAGAGTAGGCCAGCAGGCCTAGGGCTAAGTATAAGAATTAGCCCTAGCCTCAGTTTACCTTTGGGCTAAGTGATAGTTTAAAGAGAAACTTGTGTGAAATCAGACCCTTTGCTTAGGCCTTATATGCTCATCCAGTGTATGGCCTAATGTTAAATTATGTATGGTAAGGCCCAACAGTAATCAGTAATTACTGAATTCCATCAACTTCGAGACTACATATCTGGAGCATTAACGTTATTGGTTAACTCATCTCATTCTATGTGGACGATTGTCCAGTGCTGAAATTCAGACGGGTAACTCCCTTACTATGAGGACAATTAACTGTCTGCACTAGGTGACTTTTCAACAGAACAGGCCTCTACCTGAAATTATGCATAATTAATTTGTAAATGAGTATTGAAGCAATCCAATCAAATTATCATAGTTTAATCTGGCTTAATTCATAAAGTAGCATATGTAAAGCCAGACCCATGAAATGCTGGCTAAGCTATGTCTTTGTCAAACTTAGGATATGTATAAAGTTAACCTTGCCAGGAATGCTTGCAACTGTGGAAACACTCCATGGATGAATTCATCTTTTACAGGGGCCCTTATGAATCAGAGAAACATGTCTAAGCATTCAACGGAAACAGATGAGGAATTTGATGCAAGATATGAAGCCTATTTCAATCGGAAAGATATTGATGGCTGGGAGCTACGCAAGGTCTGTTTTTTGAACTTTTTCACACTGCTGTATAAGTAAGAATGTTAATAGAAGCCCTCACTCAGGCCCATCTCCCCACAGTCTTGGTTATAGTGTATAACTGTTTTTATAGTGTTTTAAACTTGTCAGACAATTTTTCTCTTGACTCAGACAGCCAAGCATGAGGAACATCCCTTGCATAGATGTCTAAGCCAAGTGAAAAATTGTCTGATGCGAGTGAAAAATGCCATAGCTTGCAATCATCAGTTGCATTTCATTGCCCTCATACCTCCTCCCACTCTTTTTAGGTATTTATTTCTGGGGGAACATAATTGATTGTTGAGATGGCTTAGAATTTAGGCCCACCTTTTCAGCTCTAGGCCCTCCTACTCTATATTCTTTAACCCTTCAAGCCAGTCATTTAAAAGGAAAGAACATTCTAAGCAGCAGTACTATTTCCTCTTTAGCAAATTTTATTACAATTCCTTCTGATGATATAAATAATTTTTATGCATCAAGTACACACACTGGCAAAAAAATAGAAACCCCCCATCTAAGTACTGTATATTACAGTTAACATTCGGAGAGTTTTATATTTAATAAAATTTTGCCTATAATTAGAAATTTCTTAAATTTCCACCATATATGGAGTATGTCTAAGTTTTCTGCAATAAATTTTCAGTTGATTTCATCAAATTAACTGAAACTGAAAAAGAACTACACAAAACTTACAGACATACTTAATATCTGGAAAATTTTCAAGCAATATCTGATCATCAGTTCAAATATTGACATCTTGAAGTGTTAACTGAGACACCTGTACTTGGCCTGGGGTTTGTTACTTTGGCCAGTGGATGTATTGAAGACCTCACTGGATATCACAATCACATCTTACTCTTACAGTGATTTAATATAGCAGGTATCACAGTGATGTCGAACCTGCTTGAAAGGCTAAGGTTAGCAATTAAAAATATGTCTGCCATGGCAGCATATAAACTTTGGATCCAGACTAGGCAAGGCCATATATTAGGTTAATTGATATTAAGATAATAAACATGAACATATATGATGACTGGCCTGAAAAAATATATTCATTAGCTTACCTGATCATATCACTCCATCAAAAGTACTTTTGATTATTTTTAAATTGTTAATTATGCCAAAATGTGTTTGGGAGCTTTTGCTCCCAGTATCTGATTTCTTTTTGGCCATTTTCATTTGTCTCAAAGGGTTGTAATTAAATGCAGTAAAACTTTGAGTCCATTAAATTCATTATGGTACAAGTAGAACAGTACTATGAGGTGTTATTTATTACATTAATATTTAGTATTACTGGTGATTTACCTTTTCCTTTACAGGCCATGAATGACTTAACAACCATGGATTTGGTGCCTGAACCAAAACTGATCAGTGCTGCTTTGAGGGCATGCAGGCGAGTCAATGATTATGCTCTTGCTGTTCGTTACCTTGAGGCCATCAAGTACAAGTGTGGGAACAGAGTCAAGGAAATCTACCCCTACATCCTCCAGGTGAGTATCATTCAGTAAATTTGAAATGGAGAATCTTCATTAACCTTTCAAGCAGTTTTTCATGTACACAGTATGTTCTTCACTTTGGGGGTCAGGTCAAAACTCAGCGCTTGAAGGGTTAACCATGGTCATTTCAGACAAGGCCTCCTGCCTAACTCATACAGAATGTACAGTAGAATTCTCAGGATGTAGAATTTTCAACTGTCCCTTGCAAAGAAAAAAGAAATTTGGGAATCACATCCAACATAAAAGTTTTCCAAATGAACTTAATTTTCATATGAAGCAAGCTCTCATATGGCAAAGTGAGAATCATTTTGGCAGCTCCATAAATGTAAAAGTATTCAGATGAAAGACTTACCTTGCAAATAGGGTTGCATAAAATAGTTTTGTAACTCATGCAACATGGTGGCTTTTAACTCTTATCTCTTCACTCCCACTTGATCAAGTGTGAGATGGATATGCATAGAGCATATGTGAGAATATCTCACAGTATATTCATATTTTGTTTAGTTTGTCTGAAAAGGATGCTGGTGCAGTCTAGTTGCTCTAAACCAACTCCAGTCCTCTGTCCATTTTCTTTGGAGTAATTTCTCATAGCCTTACTTTGGCAATACCAATAATGGATGATATTTCAAAGACCTGTCTGAAATGTATGAGTCTATGCTCAATGCAGTTTTATTGAAAATTACTATTTTAGGCTATTTGAAATTATTTTAAAATTTAGGTCAAAAGGTTTTTTGTTGCTATACTCTGTTGATATCTCAACTATCCTGATGAGTATTGAGCCTAGATAAGGTAATGAAACGTAAAAGAAAAAAAGTAAAGTGAATGGTGTATGCTTAACCATTCTCTTTCATCTCTAGGAGATTCGACCAACACTGAATGAACTGGGCATCAGCACTCCAGAAGAGATGGGCTATGACAAGCCAGAGCTGGCATTGAAGAATGTTGATGACATCCATTAATCTTTGCTAAGCTGGTGAAGAAGTTAGAGTGAAATTCAAATCGTCATTTCTTTCTATGCTATCCCAGGATTTCTGTAGTTGCCTGGAAGGTCCTGTGAGCTGTGCAATAAAATGTGAAATTAGATTTCATTTTCTCTGAAACTCATCTGAAGCTGTTTAGGATTGACAGGGAATCAAGGATACCATCTTAGTAACCAGCTTTATGCTATAGTCAAAAGCATATCTGAATTGAGTCAATTTTAAAGCCACTCCTATTTTTTTCAAGAAATTTATTAAATATCTTGGGAGTCTTTTTTGCTCTAGTTGTTCCCATCTAGGAGAAGTGGGAGAATGGGGAAGAAAGGACTATACTTGGAAAAATGCTCAAAATCATTCTCTGCTGATCTCATTCAAATCGCAGTCTGCAAGAATGGAGGGGGGGAAAGAACTAAGAAACTCTTAAACTGTTGGTCTATTTAACATGGGTCACTATTGACTCAATGTTTTGGAAACAATAAGTTCCATCATGGGAGCAGAAAAACTCTAACATCTAGACAATTGATTAATAGTAATAAAAAAAATTTCAACTTTTGGGGGGAAAAGGAGGAAAAAATGTGGATAAAATAAACTCAATAAATAAAACAGTAGGAAATGGGTGAATTCAAGAAATAGACTAGTAATAAAAAGTTAAGTACACCATCATGTAGAAAAGAGTAAGTTGGTCGTCAAAATCAATTGAAAATTTGGAGTTTCTGTATGATTTACAATGTCCCCATTTTTGGTGAATTGATGGTTGAGTTTTACTCTTTTAATTGAATGATTGTAGAGATTAACCCCCATAGTCTCATAATTCAGATGAGTTTATCGGCTGTATTCCTTGGGGGGGAAGAATACAAAGAATCTGTGCTCCTCTCACCTATTGCTGGCTGTACCTACATATGGAAATTGAGTGAAAGACTTAAATATTTTTTAAATATTTGCAGTTGAAGGAGTAACATTTGACTTGAGATGTGTGTATGTGTGCCATCCAAAAAGTCTGTATTAAATTTATTCATATTTATTTCTCAGCATAAACTCATGCAATTCTCGGGAAATGTTTCAACCTTTCAACATGACGGTGACACCCAATGTGGTAGTGTACTTCTATGAAAATTCACAGGTAGGAAGTAAACTCTACCCTTAATTTATTCAAACTTGTTTTCTATTTGATGCTCACACTGTTGCATAGAACTGCTAACATATTACCACTGCAGGGGATGTTTGGCAATATACAATAAAATTACCAGCATGAAATATTAAGAGTGATACCTACTCAATCAAGTCACCAATGAGCTCCATTCTTTTTCTTATACAGTGGTACTATACAGCAGATGCCAGAAATAATAAATAATGGCACTAGACAGCAGATGCCAGAAACAATACATAATGGCACTATACTGTGGATCCCAAAAAATGGGCTTTTCTTCACCATGAGGAAGAGGAATAAGTTGCTTGGCAACATCCAGTGAGGAAGTTGGTGGGTAAGCACATCCCAGTCATAGGCTGTGTGGCCTCCAGGATGTGGCCCTCCTTGAAAGTGGTGCACATCGTGTTCTTTGACATGGATGGTGCCAAAACCAAATTGCCAATGCAGACAACTACCTGCACATCCTCTGAAATTTTATCCAGTCAATCATACACAAAAACACCTCCCACCTGCTGGAAACAGACATTATTCTGCTGTAAGACAATGCAGCTGAAGCAGAAGTCCAGGAGGCCATGGCAGATTGAGACTGGGAGGTTCTTGCCAATCCAGCTTACTCACTGGATGTGACTATAGGACTTCTTCCTCTTCTCCAAGGTTAGGGAGAGCTTGTGCTGATGCTGTTTGCGGACACTGATGCCATCAACAATGCCTACAAAGTGACACTTCTGGACCTGGCCAGAGATTAACATATTCACTTCCATGGTCTGGTGCCATGGTGTAGGAAATAAATTGAACATGGGTGTGGGCAATTCTGGGAGAAAACTCAATAGAGAAAAATCCATATGGGAAACTTGAGAGATCAGGGTGTTTCATGGGGGATGGTTCACGGTTTTGAAACATTCAGGTAACTGAGAGAGGCAATCTACAGGGTGTTCCCCTTATGTCTGGAACAATAGGAGGTGTATTTCCCTCATATTTCAGATGAAATAAGTTGAAGAAATTGCACTACTGAAGGTGAGTAAGTAGAGCCTGTCACTATGTACTTGGGGGAAATGAGGCCACACAAAGAACCCAAAAATTGAACAATTGTTAGTGTGCCAATGCTCATGTAATAATGAAGTTGAAAGGTGAGACGATGAGAGTTCCACATGAAGCCTTGAGACAGTGCTTGGGTTTTGAAGTGATTATTTTTTATCTACCTGACTTTCAGACTGAACCCTATTGAACTTATGTGACACATTGTATGAGGTGGTGCAAAATTCAGTACCCATAGGCAAAGTGACAATCATTAATTTTTTTTGCCTCTTCCAGATAAAAAATGCCAGAAATGTTAATGAAAGATGAGCAAGTACAGTTGGTTTTTGTGTATGCAAGATAAAGGAGCAGTTATCAATGTGATGCCAATGAATTTAAGATCGACTTCAAGAAGGAATTCACAGGTGAATGTGCCAAAATTACTCCACTCATCTTGAGAAAAGTCCTAGCATAATTTCAAAAAAGAATTGAAAAATGTGTTGAATTTAATGGTAGTTTGAACATTTACAAGAATAAAAATGTTACAATGCCTATGGGTCCTGAATTATGCACCACCCTGTGTATCAAGTGATGAGCTAAGATTGACACCAAAAATGAAGGGACCAATGACCAGTGACCGACCAAGGCTGTAGAATAAATTTCTTTCAACTTATGAGATATCACAGACCTCAAACATGGTTTATCTACTCATAAGATCAACATGGACTTAGTCCATGATGAATAACAGTGAGGAATTGAGCCTTCTGGCTCTGAATTTTTCACCATTAGCCCTTTGCAATGACTTAAAAAGGATGAGATACATATAACTTTATCTCAGATTCAAGTCAAGCAGAGAAGAGGTTTATGCTTCCAGCCACACTTGAAATATCATCACAGAAGACCAAAGGAATATGAGTGCAAGAATTTTCGTGTCACTCTATGAATTTTTGGAGAGCTTGTAACTCCAACAAGCACCAAGAGGACCATGTAGAGAGTCATGAGGAGTAAAAATTTGTGTCTCTTCAGGAATGCCCTCCACATGGTCTCTGTAGCCCTGTAAGTAAGACAGACTCCATTTGATACATGCCAGTGATGGTGATTCAAGGAACTCAGGCAGAACTTTCTCACAGGGCAGCATGACTTGTACAAAAATACCTTGGATTCTTTGGGGACTGATGTGAATAGACAAGGATGTATCGCAGACGAAGTAGTTCATTATTGCACACCAAGAGATACTTCTCAGGTAACTGAGGAAACTCACAGGTGTGTGAGGATCTTTGATCCTTCCCTGCAAATAGTCAAAAGTGGCTATCTTTATTCACCACAAACATGAAAATTCCATCATGTAAAAGACAATACAGTGAATGATGTTGACCAGTCTCTAGATTTTCTCAAGTACCAATGCAGTACAGGACCTTTATTTTATACAATCCAAATCACGAATCAGAGCTCTGGAAAGTGAGTTCTCTTCCTTAATGGATAATAAATAATGCAATGAAGTTCAGCAGCAGCAACCCTATAGGGTGATTCATAAGTTTGTTTCCACTATTCATGTTAGGAAGCTTACACTCCACAAAGAAGCCAATTACACCATTCAAAAGAGCTGCTCTTTTTGAGGGCTCACATTTGACACTGGTGTAAAAGACCATGCATGCATGGGGTGAAATAAGTTCAAACACACCATTTTGTGCCTGACATTATGGTCTTTCATTGGCTGACTGACTCCAAAATGTCTCTCTTACTTTCAGTAGTTTGAGCTGCAGAATAGCTTACATTTCCCCAACTTTTTCATGGCATTTTCAAAGCAACACCAAATTTCAAAATAGTTATATTGAGCCTGAACTGAATGCTGCAGACTTACATGATACACTGGTAACCCAGCAATGGGACTGGTAACAGGACAAAACTACATATAAAGTTCATTGCCTGCAGTAGCCATAGCAACAACATCCATAGTATAAATGCCTTGTATTTTCATTGTTGGTTGTGAGTACTTCGCCCAGGAGGTCATTCAGTGCAATGCTACTCTTATCACAGAAGTGTGGCCCTATTATGTCAAAATAGTGAGACTTTTTGGACTTCTGACTCTATAATACCACCTCCAGGTCATAAGCTTTCACTCAACAACTCACTCATGAAAATCCATCAAGGAGTTTCCTGGAATAACATACAGATGACACTCTCATGAATATGGATTCCTGAGATATCAAAGAGCTTGTTTTGAGCACTGCATGACCAGTTTCTGTCTAGATCGAAAGGCACTATTTCTGAAGGTCTAGGAGTCATGCTGACTTTTGCATTAATCACAGTGTTCAATCCTCTATCAGTTTCTTGGTGCGCACAGCATTTTCAAGCATTTCCAAATAAAGAAGCCAAGAGTAATGCAGTCAAGTAAAATTGGGGGGCTCTTTATGAGACCAAGTCGACCCATCTGTTGATCAGGAGATTCAGTATTCAGGAGTGAATGCACTCGCATGTCATGATGTGGCAAGGCACCATCCTGCTGAAATATGTATTAGGTTCCAAAAATTTCTAGATTGGTTCTCACGGATCTGGTTCGCACCCTCTGATCAGGACTGGAGCAATTTAGTTGGTGTTTCCTTCAAAGTAGTGGTCCTAGCTAGTCACACTTTTGCCAACGCCTGTATATTTCCTTGAAGCAGGGGGCGAACCCTTTTATTGCAACCTCCTTCAGTGCGGCCGCCGCAGCTACAATAGCCTCATCAGCGCTGGAAAAGCGTCTTCCTTTCAGAAGATTCTTCATTCGCGAAAACAGGTAGAAATCGCACGGAGCGCGATAGGGCGAGTAAGGTGGATGTGACAGGGCAGTTTGTCTCGTATCTACCGAGAATTGCGTCACCAACAGCGACCGGAGAGCGGATGCGTTGACGAGAACACAATTATTCTCAGTCCACATCTCTATAGAGCTCTTTGTCGACCGTTCACCCCTTGAGAATAAAGTTGCGATGGATAAAGCCGTGGTAGTGAAAACCTCCAATATGACCTTTCTTTTGGAACGATCAGCGCGGAACTTGCGAATGAGGCAAACCCTCGTTTCTCCACAATGATTGTCGCTTCGTTTGTGAATCGTAAAGAAAGCACCACGGCTCATCTCCTGTTACGACCCTCTTCAATGGGATAGGGTCAGCGTCGGCAGCGTCAATGAGCTCTCCGTAGATTGTCCCGCGATCGTGGCGTTGATCGTCTGCGAGGAGACGCGGAACAAAGTGTTGGCAAACATAGTGCATGTTTAGATCCTCGGTCAATACGGTGTTCCAAAAGAGATGTTAACAGAGGCTACATGTTCTCGAACACCCTGGTGACGAACCCTACGCACGCACTTCTAATTGTTTCGATGATTCCGGCATGCATGCTGCGGAAGGTCTTTTTGAACAGAGCACTATCCGATAATGCAGCTTTATTCCCAGGAAAATGCTCTATTGTCAAAGGCGATTTTTGAACCGAGCATTTTTTATAATGCACCATTTTATTTAGACATCGGTTCGTGATTATAATAGAGTAGGTCCAGAGGTCCTCTTTCGTCGATAATGTTAGATTATTTTATTATCCAGTCGCAATGGAAGGGCTTCACGGCTTGCATCGTGTGCAATCGTATCGCCTCGTGTTAACCCCTTGACGTCGTATTTTTTTCACAGAAAATTTGATTTTCAGGTCTTCAATATTTTAACCCTTATCCTTATCCGGTTTCCCACATAGAAATTCGACAAAAAATCGGATGATATACGAGACCTGGGAAGTATAGTTAAGATGTTCTTCAAGTTCCAACTGTGTCTTTAAAAACTAAAGACGTCATGTTGGAAACAGAGAAACCTGGAAAAGTTTTTATCATCACTTCCGGCGCGGAATCCCTTCACTTGATTGGCTGTCCCAGTTAGAGCCTCGTCGTCGTGCAGGGTCGTTCACGAAGAAATAAAATGAGAAATGATGGCGAATTGCGTTTCATGTAACGATTAGTGTCGTGTTGAAAATAATCTAGGATTATTATAATAGAGCATTGTCAAATGCAGCATTATCTGGCCAGTTCAAAAATCGAAAAAATAATGCTCCACTTTATAGAACGGTATTATCCAATAGAGCAGGATTATTTTAGAGCTCGGTTCAAAAATCCACCCTTGAACTCGACAGATAATGCTGCATTTGACAATGCTCTATTATAATAATCCTCGATTATTTTCAACGATAGTTGGTGACGGCAACGTCGCATCTCATACGAGAGTAAGCAAAGTGGAATGAGTTTTTAAAGATGGCAGCGCGCATCGCATGAATTAACCAACATCATAAATGGCACGAAAAACCCCTTGACATTGGGAAAAGAGAAAACTTTTCCAAGTTTCTGTTTCCAACATGACGTCTTTTGCTTTTAAAGACACAGTTGGAACTTGAAGAAAATCTTAAATATATACATCCCATGTCTGCGTATGTCATCTGATTTTTTGTTGAATTTCTATGTGGGAAACCGGATAAGGGTTAAAATTAGGGCCGGGCGATATGGATTTTTAAAGTATCGATTTCGCCGACCATATATCGCCCGATATCGCGATATTACCAGGGTTCAACCGGGGGGGGGGGGTTTGGTATTAATGGCGCATTTATTTCAGGACAAAATCTCTTTACTTTGGCAATGATTCTGACATGATCTTGAATGCATGACATCATGGTAGTTCGTTGTTCAAAAAGCTAGGAGAGAGAACATATCGACGATCTCTGTCGCAATGCACGCACGATGTTCGTTTGCGGAAAATCCGTATCTTGGAAAGAGTCGCTCACACGGGACGAAAGTTCTGCGAATTTGCAGGTGTTTGCGAGCCAGGTCGGCAAGCGACGAGTGTCACCTTCCGTTATGACTCGGGCGTATCGGTGGGTCATCGAATTCGTCCTGCGGCTCTGCTTCTGCAGGTTCGTAGCTGTCCGTGTGGGTTAAGTAAGCGATAATTGCCTCGTGTGACTTCTTGCTGGAGGCCGTGATGGACTCGATGGTAGATTGTCAGATTCGAAACGCAACCGTGAAAAACTCATAAACCCGTGAGTGGTTTTCAAGGTCTTCTGTTTTTCTTTAAAGGAAAGGTAGGTCAAGCGTTTAAAGCCTGAGTGCGGGGAACCGATTTTTCTCGGAACTGGGCTTCCACTTCGTCCCAGACAGGAGAATTTGCAAAGAATGATGGAGTGGTCTTTTTTAGCAGTGAGACTCGATTATTGCCAAAATCAAATTGAGGTCGCTTGCGCGCAAGATGCGAGAGATTGGTCATATTCCCAGAAACTGGAATTTTTCTTCCTTACAGGGCAGCTACTCTTGCATATTTCTGATGGGTATTGCATTCGTTGCGAGAATAAATTCTAAACGAATTCCGCATGACAGATTTTCCACGAGCGTGAGAGATGAGTTTCTAGTTCTTTTCCATTCACAAAAATTAGCCGTGGTTTCATCATACTCGGGGGCAGACTGAGTCCGAGAGCTGATTTCCATCATTTCGCCTTAATGAAATTTTCCAGGAATAGAAAGCATCGGGGAGGATTGCAGTCCTCAGATTATCCACTAACTCCCTCCCTCGTCTCATCGGTTTCTGTCAAGGCCGACAGTCAATCTTTACATTGTCCTATGCTGTTATTGTTAATGGTGCGGTTCGTGTGCTCTGTTTCCCCTCTCCCGCGACAATAGAGGAGTAAAAAAATATATATTATTTCCAAAATTTAAATATCGTGATATGCAGACATATCGCCGATGAGACACACATTGAACGATATCGCAATAATCGGCACAGCCTTAGTTAAAATATTGACCTGAAAAACAAATTATCGGTGAAAAAATACGACGTCATGGGGTTAACACGAGGCGATACGATTGCACACGATGCAAGCCGTGAAGCCCTTCCATTGTGACTGGATAATAAAATAATCCAACATTATCGACGAAAGAGGACCTCTGGACCTACTCTATTATAATCACGAACCGATGTCTGAATAAAATGGTGCATTATAGAAAATGCTCGGTTCAAAAATCGCCTCTTTGATAGAGCATTTTCCTGGGAATAAAGCTGCATTATCGGATAGTGCTCTGTTCTAAAATCCACCCTTAGATTTTAATTTTAATTCCTCCATCCTTCCCGCATGAAATCCTCGCGCTAGCAGGCATTCGAGGAGGTGAGAAAGACGTCCACGTAGAAGGGTCTATCTCATTTTCATCCCTTTCCCTCGCTTGTCTCCCTTGATCATGTTGTGAAATATCTTGCATATTCATTACCGAATCATTGATAGGGTTGCCACATTTGAATTAAACAAAACGTGGACGCATAGAAAAATGCAAAAATATTCGAAGTACGAGGTACTTGTTATGCGGCTACGCCACAAATACCCAGAGTCACCTTAAGCCAAGACGCCAATTGGTACTATGAGAGTGTGGCCTGCTGCTTTTGACTTACGGAAAAGAGCCGTTTTAGCTCCCATTAAGTTTGATTAATTTTAAAAAATCTCAACAACTTTATAATATGGACAAACCAGTGTCCATATTAAGACCAGTTTGCAGTATCTACGAAGCGTCTGAAATATGTACTATCAATACTATTTATGAACGGGTGACAATCCTAATCATCGATGGTACCCGTGCAATGTTTAGACTCCTTTTGCCAAGGTTAACCTCAATACATCAACGACCTTGTCGATGAGCTTCGCAGTCTGGTTACGCTTCTACCAAAGCCACTTGATGCTCTTGGAACTCCGCGATTCATTCACAAGAGTAGTCATAGTCAGGCCCTTGCATCCTAACGTGTCCATCGCTCTTGGAGTGCTACTCTCAGCTCCAGTGAGAGTTGCATCTGTAGAAAGAAGCTTCTCCAAACTGAAACAGTTTATAACTTATCTAATATCAAGCATGTCACAAGAACGCCTGACAGGACTAGCCATACTCTCTATCAAGGTCAGCAGGTCATTGAATTACAAGAAAGTGATCGATGAGCTGGTGGCAAAGGTTACGAGAATACGAACGCTAAACCTTTGGACAACCTACGCAAATTCCTCTCCTTTCCTTGCTTAATAAAAATGTAGTGATTTTCATTTTTTCCTCCCTAATATAACTTCGATAATCGAAAATGAAGTGAGCGGCAAATCTTCGGAACCTAAAGGTGGCCCAATGTCTTTGCCGCAGGGGCCCCAGCATTTTCTCGCGCCGGGCCTGCCCTTAAGCTATTAAAGTACTGTATACAGCATTGATGACCTGACAAAAGGTGAATACGCAATTCTGAACTCTGGACAAGTCTATGATTCTCTTGCAGATGGCAATGTTGTATTTAAAGAGCAAGCACAGAATTCTGAGAAATCATGGAACACATCAGCTGTAGTCGTATATACCTGAAAAGAGCCTCATGCAATTATCTAATGTTACAAACGAGAGCAGTTAAGTATGACTGATGAATAGTAACCTGCTCAGATAAGCCACTGTGTACCATTGCAAAAAATTGCACATTTTGAACCGATCTGTGTCAGTTGTTTGTTAAAAATATGAAGTCATGAACCATCAGAGTCAATTACCCAGCAAGGGACTAGGCTAGGGGCTAGGGCTCTTGCTTCCTTCATACTTCACCCTCAGTAGAGAACCCTCATAGCAAAACATCATCTTATACATTTTTTCCCTTTTAATTTGTTGGTGTTTTCACCTGCAATGTCAGCTTGCCTTTCCCTATTTTCCAGTGCTTCATGGAATTCAGCAGTAAAATGTAAATGAATGGCTTTTGCCTAACAAATTACAAACTGTGCTTAGGTTACAACAGAAAGGCACTTACGAGGTTTGGACATTTGGTGAACACCAGGGTGATCAATGACTTCACAGACAGCCACGCAGGAGATGGAAGAACCAAGAAGGCTCTTGTCCCAGCTCATTCCATGGGGACTATACAATAGACTCACGCTCAGTTCACTTGATAAATATGTCCCTTCACCATATGCCCCATTCTATCAAAGGAAAAAAATTCCTATTCACTGCTAACACAAGGCAATTAGCTATGCAACTTCATGTTAGTATACCTATAATTACTGACTGGTAATATCACCAGTAAAAGAAAATATAGCTGTGCCTCACTTGCACTAGATTGACATTCTGAATGAAACTAAAAAATGTGGTCTTGCTCAATGAAATCATGGGAAATAATTTATTGTAAAGACAGCCTAAATTTCAGGGAAGAAGTCTGTTACTTAGCACTCTTAATCTTAATATGAGAAAGAGAGCTCTCTTAATAAGAGGTTTCTAAGAAGTCATGATTTCTGTCTCATGATAGGTCATAGCAAAGCTGTCAATGTTTCCAACTACATGCTGCTTCATAATCAATTCGTTTTTTAACTTTACTTGCAAGTGTTCAGTATGGTAATGGTAAACTTGGCATCAATTCTGCTTTTTGGAGACATAAAAGAGCAGCAACAACTTAATTGGCCTTTTGCCATCAAGGAATTCTTTCTCCTCCAGACACATGCTGGCTATCAGAAAACTTCTTCCTTGTTGATTGTAGCTATGTTAATGTCAACATTTACTTCCTCATCTTTTAATGCAATTTCTAATCCTATGCATTCAAGTATCACACTTGGGCTTGGACCTAGTAGGGTGCCACAGGTTTCCTCTCCCATGATGAGGAAACTCATCTCTCCTGCAAAATATTCCAACCTGTCTCATTCTCCAAATGCAGCCTCTCACAAACCCTACAAAGATTTTCATTCCCTGAATGTGACCAACCTTTCAAAGTTCTCAAGATCACAGTCTGAAGCTACATTAGGCATGGCTGATAACATGTAAGCCAACTCAGAGTAATAATACAAAGTTTCAGTGCAACTAAGTATGATAAAGAGCTTCCTCTTTATGCTCTACATGACTTGGGCATCATAAGTTCATCTGACTATTTAAACCCAAAGCTTCAGGTTTTCAAAGTATCCATGCAAATGAAATCAAACAGAATTGTCCTGACCAGAATGATATTTGGGAATGGTCATGCAAGTTAGAAAAAATTATGCAGCAAGCAAATGTGTCCATGCAATTATATGCAGAAATTACAGCAACTTCAGCAAGATTGAGACAGGCAACCCAAGTAGTCAAATATGATCCCATTAGAGGAAACAGGTGAAAGAACACATTTATAAACATAAAAAATACTAAGTTAGAGCCAATACTTTTATGGCTATTTAATAAAACATGCTTTGGTATTGTATGGAGTGGGCTGTGTTCTTAATATACTGATTTGGAACTTAATACTTTGAAGAGACTTACCCGACTGCGATGCTGCTGGAGTCCATTGAGTAAGATGGAGTAAATGTTGTCCACCCTGGTTCCATGATAGGCAAAGTGTGTATTGCGATCACCCTTGAGTTGCTGCCACCTCACTTCTTCCTCTTCCTCCCAGATCATTTCAAACACATAATTTGGTTCTGTTGTCTCAATTGTTTGAGCAGTCAACTCCTTGATCTTTGGAAACTGGTATCATGAAAAGTCAAGCAGGTAGACTTATGAAGATATGAATCACATCACAGAAACTAGGCTATGAAGGAACCAGAAAAAAATTATCCTACAATGACTACACTTTCACTGAGATGATTTTTAGATCAAATTAAATAGGAATAATTACACACAGTTTTAATCCATACTAATTCACCTTCATAAACTGGCAAAAACTCTCCTGAATAAGCTCCTTAGGCTTTGAGCACCAAGATCTCATCTGGTCAATTAGAATCCTGGTGCACCTGTCAAGTGAATCTACACCAAAGAACATGAATTACTGTAGGCAGTGGTAAAGAGTTGAAAGTGCAGCTCCTGGCATGAACTGAAACAGACAATATGTTACAATCTTCATTTTATGTCTTGATATGGATACTCTATTCATTCCTCATAATCTATGGCTGGCCACTCTCGAGTCCTAAGAGCATCCAAAAGCATATTTGCACATCAGCTTCATATGTCCTAAAAACATATAGCGAAGATAGTTGACAGATTTTCACGTAAAACAATTTCCAAGGACTATGCTAGCTCACATTAAATCCATGATTTCATTGTTCTCATGGTTAATAAAAGTCAGAAGTCAAAGAGACATGTGCCAATTGATAAGAATGTGAATATGAGAGTCAGTCAATGTACTGCTCTCGAGACAATGGCAGCACTTCAGTCTGCCTACCTCCAGCAGTGTAATGTGCAGGAGGAGGAGACCTTATAAAACAGAAGCATAAGGAAGAAGGAAAATACATATGAAATGCATGATAACAATGTTCCAATTCCCTTCCCTCCCACTTTTTTCATCCATGCTACACTTTTGCCTAACTCAAGCATGTTTGGGTTAGTAACTCATGCTCTAGCAAGTCTATGGACAAAAGGTTTTTCCATGAGTTGCAACAAAACTTTCTAGCAGAGTTTTTAAACTGTAGAATGAAGATAGTAAATGTATATCATGTGTAGTTTCAGCATAACCTAAGCCTACTCCACTTTCAATAAAAGACTGACATCTCTTTGGTAACTTCACTATCCCCTGAGCATGACCTGTAAGCTGATGCTAAGAACTTCCTTGGCTTCAACAGCTTTCAAAGACTCTATGGCTATATGAAGTTTCCCACATAGCACCTCTAATGGCCTCAGGCTATAATGTAAGTGGCAGTGCTTCAGGTAAATATTGAAGGATAGAAGAAACATGCTTACAGCAGACTTTGTACAAGTCGATGTGGTAAAATGGAAGAATTCAAAAACTTCTTCAAGAACTGTTAAAATCTCTTCCTCTTCTGGTGTGAGTCGAGTGTCTGTCAAGCTTCTCCTCAACAAACTCATCAATTCAGGAACTGTGGGAATACGGTTCACCAGACCGACCTGTATAAATGAACATTTAACTCAAGATAAATTTAGGTTTTGCACTGGGCCAACTGAAGTTCTGCACATATGCTACACTTAACAGTAAAAATCTTGACTCTATACCTGAGCATGGCAATCAATCCACATACCAATCTTGAGAAATCTGCTTTTCGCACAGGTCCCCGAGATGTTGCTTCCTCTTCCAGGAAGGAGAGCGGAATCGGATGAAGCACGACCACGTTCCTATAGCTCAAAGCAGCAGCGATGAAGACACTGAGAAGAAAGTCAACGGCCCAAGGATCAGACTCAATCTGCCTTAAGAGTCTTTTGATTTTCGGCCTTCCTCGTATCATTAGTCCAACCTTCTCTTAACAACGTGGATTCAACACCTCAACAACTTGTACGTCGCCATGACACACGCAATGCTGCCTAACGACGAATTCCCCCTATAAAAATTTATTCTTAGGAGTCATACTGTCACATGTAGTCCTCTGGTTAACCGAAGGTTATTCATTCCTTTTGATACCCTGTCTCATACTACGCAAAGCCCAAGAAAATATTCCATGATTTATTCAGGAAAATCGAACTAAAGATTGTTGCGAATACTCACGTGCTGGCACACGGTATATATGGTATTTATCCGTCTATGGTGCTTACTTTAGATCATTCTGGAGAACACTTGACGGCCTTCTCAGAAAAGGAGTCGCCTTCATAACTGACAGATATGCCCCTTCCTCGCGTTTTCTAAGTTAGATTTTACTTATTCACATCCGAGATGGCAAAATTTGCCCACAGATGTCTTCACTATCCACTCCCCCTTCCATCCCTTCACGCTATGACCAGGCAACTAAGTTCAATGCATCTGCTAAAGAATCTATCTTCTCTGAAGGCTGGAAGATATGCAGGATATCCTTTTCCTTCCATAACCTTCCATCTGGGGAGCTGCAGCTTCCCTTATGCAGTAATGCCGTCTTGAAGGTTTGGCTTGCAGAAGCATCAGAACAATACAAACGAGGCGGTGGTTGGAACCTTCTCCTTCCCACCCCTTGCAGTCATTAATTGCGGGCACTAAATTCGGGATTTATTTATTCAAGTTCCTGCAGTAAAAATGGGAATGGTGAATGGGACTTTCTTCTCAGTTCCTCTTGAAAATCTCGCGGGAACGCCGTCACCCCTCGTTTCCACTTTCTTCATTGCATAGAAGCTTCAGTTCTCATCATCTTATACTCTCCGCTGCAACGTAGTCTTTCTCTTCCTGATGTGCTTTATTTTTCCGTTTTGTTCGATACTTTTTTTTCTTCGGTGTCTGGTTTCTCTCATCTTTTGTCCTGAGGTCGTTGTCTTTTTTTTAGTCACTTCATCGCTCGCATTATTTTTATACTTCCATTTTGAGATGGCCAACCAATTTTTCTTATTCTCTGAGTGCATATTTGTACTCTCTCTTTCCCAGCTTAACTTTTCCGTAAAAAGATCAAATTCATTCATTCAGATACAGTAGGTGTCGTGCGGCTTGTAATAACCGGGACCATCATGGCTGCCTGGGCTAGGCTAGGGCCCTTATCACTTGCTGGGACGGGGGGATTGGACTTCACCATGGCCTTGAGAGATACGAAGGGGCTTGGCCATGGTTTTTAAAGAATTTTCTTGATGTGAATTTCTATTTTTCAAGCGAAAAACATCACGTGGCACGTAGATAAGCGTTTCTCGTTTGTGTCCTACAGCTCATTGAACATTTCCCCATTGCGACAGGGTTCTCATCGATTCGAGTCTGGTTTCACTGTCGGTACTTTTCTTGATCTAGGCCTATGTGTTAGCATTGGATTCGGATTGATAAGTTTTCAAGTACATATGATTATAGGCATACTTTTTTGAACTAGAAACAAAGGCCTAACGTTAGGACCCATGTTGCCGTAAGGCATAACTTTAGACCGCATGGCGGGCCTAGTTTTGTGTGTAGATTTTGAAATCTTGAATCTGCTTTGCGTAGCAGAACGATAATGGAGCTGGCACAATCAAACCTGACATTTTGTGGTTCCTATGTGGTTTTCTAAACATGGTGGTGTAGTTGAAGATTGTCTCTTTGTTTTCTAAGTTGCTCTTGATTGCTTCTGAGAGCAGCAACAGAGAAGAAGGTTACATGGGGAAGAGTTAATGTGGTAATAAGTATCTTACTGAAAGTAGTTACTACGTTTAGCTATATCACCAGCCCCTTCTTAGTATCTTAAAGTCTTGTGTCTGTGGCTGAGGCTACACTTTTTCACTGATTTCTCTATTTGTGGTCCTTGTCAAAAAGGCCTATTGGACTGTGATCATCTGTTGGTCATCAGTCTGGTGGATATCTGCATGAACTAGTGGATCCTACATAATGCTCCTGGTACTCAGGCTAAGAGTTTATTTCTCAGCTCTTAAACATCCTATAGGAATTTATTTGTGCATGGGCTGTTAAATGTTGAATCTTCATGCCTTGATGGATAGCAAGTAGGCAGAAAGAGCAGAAATTACCCTATAAGACACTCATTTTTCACTTATATTGATTGTTGCCTCAACTTTTCCTTGCATCTGGGAAGATGAACATGCGAATTAAAAACTTTTGGAAATTTGAGAGCAACCTCAGAAAATGCACAGGATACATACATGCATGGAATATGTATCAAAAGTACTGTGGTACTCATTCTATCTACTGCAATATGCCATGTTTCACTTTGTTTCATATCTGAAAATAAATTTGGCAAAAATATACCCTTCTCTGTACATAAGATGCACATTGGAGGATAGTTATCAGGTGTCCATGGTTGTAAATGCTACTAGTCCATGAGTCCTCATAGTGTTCACATAATCAATTTGGTGCAAAGCAGGTGTCCATCATGAAGCCCTGTTATCCTAGCCAGAGTGCATCCCTTGATCCTGAGTTCCAGATGAAAAATGAAAGGGAAGCCTTTTCTACAGCCCTTTTCCTAGGGCAATACTTTTAATGAAAAGAATTTGAGTATTATCAAAGAATGAGAAGCCTTGTAAAGTCTTGATGCAACTGGGGGGGGGGGGGAAGACAGTAATATAACACCTCATACCTATTTAGCTTTTGTGAATTTCCATTCTCAGTGAAAATACTTGAAATGACTGGCCCATTCTTTCTCATGAGAAAGAAATTCTATTGTATTTTAATTCATCATTCCCCTATCTTGGCTACTTGCTCCTGACTGATTCTTTTTTCATGTGATTCCCAGACTCAGACTGATGGGAGTTTTTTATCGGTCTCAAGATTCATTCCTAAGGTTAGCATTCCATTTCCCTTTGTGTTGCATTTCCTTCATTCTGTTTCAATGTTCTCTTCTCTGTGCCTTTGACCAGTTTTCTCACCCTATTGTTTCCAACAGGTGTATAAATGTTGCCTTAGACTTTCTGAAAAGTTTGGGGTGCTGTATATGCTATAGAATTTGGTCATCATTCTGGTGACAACTATATTTTATAAAACCCTAAAAACTCTACATGAAGTTTATAATATCCAGAAACAATTTCCTTCACTAGCATGAGGAAGGAGTTGAGATTACATGAAAATGTAGATTTGAATATGGATTCTTTGTAAGAATGTGGCTTGAATTAAATTGTGACTAACTTTGAGCCTCTTATGCTAATAACTTAATTTCATTTGACTATCAGGTGGAGCTGATGATGATTGGCATAGGTGAAATGGTGGTAGGAATTTATGATGACAGACATATGGCGTGCTGGCACTGAAGTGATTGCAAGATACAGTTTCAAGGGAAAATCCCCTGAAGACCTACCTTTTAAGAGATGTGATCGCCTGGTTATCATTTCCTCCACAAGAGACCCTAATTGGTACATGGCGAAGCGGTCAAGTGATGGCCATGAGGGAATGATCCCTGCTAATTATGTCCAGAAACGCTCAGAGGTTCGACTCAACCAGATGAAGTGAGCTTTCTTTTATACTGGCATCTCTTTAAATTTCCATTTTTCTATCCATAAAACTGATTTCTCTTTGAATAATTTTTCTCTCTCAGTTGGGACAGTATTATCATAATTCAGGCTTACCAGTAGTAATAGTAGAGTTTACAGGCCTATTTTATCAAAACATTTATAGGCATACTTCCTGTTCTTCTCATCTTCATTCACTTTACAAGCTTGAGCATCTGTACTATGATATATGGGTAGATATATGTTTATGTTAATATTTGAAATTATTGTATGTTATTTTTGCGTTGAAGGATGTATTTTTCATTTTGCATTTCAATGTCTGCTATTATTTACTGATTATTGCATGAGCAAAAAGGAGTCATTTTTTAATTTCTATTTGGTAAAAAAAAGCCAACAAAATAAGGAGAGCCTGGTGTAGGCCTGCTTGATCAATCGGCCTATTTTTCATGCTTTTTCTGGTGTGTATCTATTACCTGACATGCCAGCTGTTTTTCCTAGGCCTGTTTTTTCAATTTCTAACCAATTTTTTGAGTTGAATGACCATAGTAGCCTTGATAAATCATTCAATATTCTGGAAGCAGGAAAATTTGATGGTACACCATGACTGATATAAATGAAGACTTTAAAAGCCATAAGGCACAGACTACTGTTGTGAGGATGTTTGAAGCACCTAAGTAAAACTTGATAATTTAAAGATGGCTTTGTGCATTATCAGATTCAGTTGTTGTCATGTGCCTGCATGTAGTCTTCAGGATGAAAAGGGTCTTTAGTAAAGGAAACATACTACATACATACTAAATCCTACTTGTTGAGTTCTTTTCTAGACAGTGATTAGGCTCCCCAAGACTGACAGGCTGAAAGTTTTAACTTCTCAACCGAGTAGTTGGATGCAGTGGTGTCCAGTTTATTATGCATATGTAGGGGTAATCCCAGACTAGGAATAAATCACAATAATGAACCTAGTCCCTTGACTAATAAATTGATACCTTCCACTGGCCAGCTTTGATGGCTTCCTTGAGTCCCTAGGACACACTTACTGTACTCTGACATTAGCTGCATGTACCTAATGTCTCCTGGAAAGTTAATTTTCCCATGGTATTGAGCCATGTCTACCTGGTGAGGGGTAGAGGGAAAGTAAGGAAATGTTGGGAAGTTATATTTTTAGTTGCTTCTTTGCTTCACACCCGGTGCTTTCCTGCTTGCTTTTTATTTTTTCCTCAATAGACAGAAAGAGAATTTAAGAGTCACATCTTGTTGCATTTTGCCTGTATTAGTTAAAGCAGGGGTGTCAAACATATGGCCTGTTGGCCGGATCCTGCCCACCATCTGTTCTTGAAATTTCCACTTGGATTGACCGTTAGAAGAAATTTCAGTGAAAAAGTATGGGTGCGGCCCACAGGCATCTACAAGATAAGGAATGTGGCCCATCGACCGATTTGAGTTTGACACCCCTTAGTTAAAGGATATTTTTCTCAAGAATAAGGCTTTGCTGATTATTCATATTGGTTGATGGAAGTGGAGGATATGGAAATGGTGTTCCAGAGCCTCATGTCTCATCAGGCTTGCTCTCTAGGATGTTCAATGGCTTAGCAAGACTTAGACAGGCCAAAGAAGCCTGTACATAAATTGCTTACTTCACCATTAATAATGAAACTAAAGCATGCCATAACTTTCATGAAGGTTCATGAAAGTGAGCTAAACAAGCTTTATTATAATAGCATCTTGCACCCAAATGCAGTGTCGTTCAGTCATACATTGACAGGTCCATATGCTGAGCCTGTCCATGCCTGAAAAGACCACCACTGGTTCCATCACATAACTGAATAGAAGAATGCCATCAACACCGAGGACTTTTGAATGTTAGCTAAAGCTTGCATATTGTGTGGGATTGCATCTAAAAGCACTGTAAGTCAGCAGGAAGACGTTGAGTAGTGTGGATAGAAAGGACAGGCCAAAATAAATGTGCCAAGTGCATAATTTTGAATTTAATCGATGACTTGGTGAAAATGATCCACATTTTCTTGTACCTTTTGATCCAGGTCTCGTTTTCAGCTGGGAAGAGCGAAAGGAGTATTACGCGCTACTTTGCTTATGAATGGAAGTTTGTTGATACTGGAGAAAGTAGGCCTTTGTGATTGTGCATTGGTTAATCAAGCCATTCCATTCTCAACTGTCGTGACTGTCCATCCTTCAATCATTTCTTACTTGCCCTCCCTTACCTTTTCCTTTCCCTCACCTCATGGAGGCAGCGGAAATCAAGTAAAAAATTATGCGAAAGGAAAAAAATCTCCCCTCCTGGCTGAACTTAAAATGCAGAGACGGAAAGTTGTGTCATTGAACTATATGGGATATAGGAATCGGAAAAGGGTTTTTCAGTGATAGTTTTAAGGTTATTTGATGACGGAACTAAACCGTGGGAAATAATTTATTATAGGACTTGAACTGCGACCAAAGTCTAGGATATGCCGTTATGTGTTCTGTGTTCATATCTGTGTTCAAGATGGTTTCATGGGAAGATCTCACGGGACGAAGCCGAGGGGCTCCTCATGCCCAGGGAAGATGGACTTTTCCTTGTGAGGGAATCCACCAATTTTCCAGGGGATTACACGCTGTGTGTCTGCTATCAGGGGAAGGTGGAGCATTATCGGGTCATCTATCGACCCGAAGACCACAAGTTCACCATCGACGAGGAAGAATACTTCACCTGTCTCAGCTCTCTTGTTGAGGTCTGTCAGCCGGATCGTCGTCAATTTCAGTCTGTAACTGTTGCCTTTCTCAGATATTTTGTCATTGGCCCGCTTAAAAACAAGGCAGCAAAAAAATATTCCCACTTAAGCCATTATTCGTTACTTTGGTCTATAGGAGCAGTTCTGTACAATCTTTCACGGAGATTGCAGTGTTGTCATAGTGATGGTGTCTAGGGTGAAGCAAAGGGAGATTTGTGAAGAACATTGAAAAAGTTTTTAGCTTCGCATTAATCGGGACCGCGTTTACCAGGACGCAGGGCTCTGCTAATTCCTTTGTTAGAAACATTAGGCACATTTGCTAAAAAAAATATTTAAAAAATTAGTGTGAGACTCTTGAAGCCTTCACTGACCGTGAAGCAAAATGAAGATGAAACTGCCAGGTAAGTTGCAGGCAGAGTGGCAGAAATTTCATTCGACTTCGAACTATGTATGGGAAACCGGTTTCTTCGTGACTAGCGTTGTTCAGATATGTATATTATAGATGTGCCGATGGCACGTGGCCGACAATGATCTCTTGTGAAACGGTCGTTGCCGAGAGTATAAAATGCCCATTACAGCCACAGACAGACTGAATTATGACCCTGCTGCTTCTGTAACTTGGGGACCAGGTTCCCAGATAAGGTAGGGATCCCTAGTGATCGGCGACCCGCCAACGCATTGGGATATCGAGAACTAGAAATGTACTATCGAATTTTCCCAAGGGAGCATATTTATGCCATGTATAATGTACATCCTACTTTATCGATCACTTTCCTCACGCTCTAAACTCATGGTTACTGAGAAGCTGAAGAACTTCTTCCACCTCTTCATCATGCATAAGGGAAAAAAAAAAGTGATTCCCCCCTCGGGAGGCAGGCAATATCTCCTTGAAAGAGAGAGGAGAGGCTTGCAACACCGCCGAGGGAAAGCCACACTCTAGCCCCTAGGCCACACTCACCCGAAATTGTTTGCTCTCCCGCTTCGGTTTTTATTTCAGGGCTCCTGAATCGGGAACCTGCTGATGTGGTGTCGCATTGACTGCCAATCAGCCAATCGGCTACCGATGCAACATTTCTCCGCTAATTTAATTACTTTGGTATTTCAATATTAAAAAACTTACATGCTCAGATAAGTTTATCCAGTCTGTCGTATTAATGAATGCATTCAAATCCTTGAAGTCAAGTGATATTTAACAGTTAAATGTATTTTCCTTCTGAGTATTTTAGTTACTTCCTTCTTTGAAAGAACGATGAAAGAATTTAATTGAATTTCAATATATGGCTATTAGGTTTATGGTTCAAGTCCTTGTGGCTGGAAATATTTAATGGAAGTTTTTAAATAGTACTTAAATATGCTCTGGGAACAGTATTCAAAATAAATGTAGTCATACTTTCGAGTAAATAATGAATGGTGATGAGCTTTCTGGCGATTCTCCTTCATTAAACACTCGATTTTTTTTTGCACATTTCGTCATTTGTGACATCTGCTGGACGACCTGATTGAGGGTCATCCTCTGAAGATTCCCCCCAACTTGAACTGCTTGCTCCAAAATGTTACTTGGTAATGTGGAGGGAGAACCTTCGTCATACACGTTTCTCAAATGCTCAAAGATTTATTTTGGTGAAATCCTTCTTTTCTAAGGAACTTCATAGCAGCTCGATACTCCAGCTTCGTGTTGCCCATTGTAGCTATTTTCAATTTGCTCTCAACTAAAATGCCGAAACACTACTGACCTCTTACTCCCTCCGAGTAATAATTATACTTCAATGTTCCTAACTCTGTTTGCAAACAGTTCTCTTTCATACTCAGGTAGATAACTTTTCAAATGACCCTCGTATTTTCTAATCATCGTCACGCTGTTAAAAGTTCACTATCAAAAATATGGTATTGATAAAATACAGACAAGAACAAAGCGTCGTGATGTCCTGGAATAATGGTTTCTCTGTATTGTCACTTGACGCTTCCTATTTGAAATTCATGCAGATATTCAAAAAGCATTCAAATTGATTGCATTCAAAAGAATAAATATGAAAGTTACCCATTGAATTTTCATAGTGAGAAGGAGATTTGGGCTTGTTCCGTCATTCCAAAAAGTCTTGCTCTATTTTTTTTGTAGTCTTGGGACTCAGGAATAGATTGGATTTCTTTTCGCACGAAGTGGAGATTCATATAGAATGCACTATTCTAGTTTTTTTTTTTCAGTCATCTGGTATGTGTCAGATGTTTGATACGTATCACATGTGTCTTATTGGTCATATACTGGACCTATCCCTCCTTTCTTTGTTATCCGCATGGATCTCCTATTCTTCCTGCTCACTCGCTTGGACTGGTTTCATAAGGACTGTATTTTTGAAGTCCAAATAAACATACTTATTGGTCGTACACACTTGCTAAAGATTTTGCTTTTTGGAGATGTTAATATGAATAACATAAATTGGTCTATGCCATGAGGGGGTTCAGGAAGGAAAATGAGTTTCTAGATGTGATCCTGAATGCTCTCTTTGTGCAACACGTTGAGGAACCGACGAGAAAGTACGCTTTATTAGGTGTAGTTTTCTTTGCGGACGACGATCTGGTCTTTAATGTTAATGGGGACTCGGACGGTCGAAACATTTAAAATTGGCCAACGAAGGTATCGTATTGCTATAGAAAAGTGAATTTCAGTAAACTGCGCGAATGCATCTCCGATGTCGAGTGGGAGGGAGGGCTATGAGGACGAACGGTTCTGGTAGGTTCCATGGAGGTTTGCATATTTACGATTTCGAAGAGTTCTCTCGGACAGCCGGTATGACGAAAGTCGCTGATAAGATGTTAGAAGCAGATATGGAATTCATATATGCGCACATGTGACCGAACGGAATACGAGAAATATAGAGTAGCTACAAGGTCGCCGAGGCGGGAAATTATGATAGGTCGGCGAAACAGGAGGTAGAGGAGCGGCTAGCTCCTAATGCTAAGAATAATCCGAAGACTTTTTATCGGTATGCCAGCGGTAGGAGTGGACATTCGCTATCTGCAACTAGCTCCTCCATGGGGCTCCATGGGAGGAGTTAGTTGTGGACAGCGAAAGCATGGCCACGATCCTCAATGATTTTACAGGTTCACGAGCGAATCTTATGTTGTCCCTACAATGACGGAAGAAGTCATCTCGGCTTGAGTCGAGGATATAATAGACAACGAGGAAGAGATCACGATTAGAATAGGAAAGGTAAAGGCAACGGCCCCGATGGGATTCCGGCTCTTGCCATGAAGGTACTCGCAAGGGTAGTATCGGTACCGTTAAGAATAATATTTGAGAGAAGCTGTTCGCGTAGAGATGTGCCTGGGTATTGGAAACTAGCGAATGTCGAACCGATATTTAAGAAGGGAGATGAATGCAATCCGGGTTATTTCGGGCCGGTAAGTCACACGAGCATTCTGGGGAAGATGATGGAGTGTCTTGAGAATCACTTCTTGAATTTCCTCGAGGGGAATATGCTCGTCTGGGACTCTCAGCGCGGCTTTAGGAGGCAACGAAATTGTCGTACCGTCTTACCCCAGTTTTACGATTGGGTGACGGAACAGAGAGATAGGGGAATCCCGTGGACGATTCCCGTGGACATCATTCACTTAGATTTCGCGAAAGCTTTTAATACAGTTCCTCACAAGAGGTTTCGGGCTAAATTGGAGATGTACAGGATCCACGGTAGGACGCGTAACTCAACTTAGACTGGAGTTGGCGTTGGTTATCCCATTCTTTATTTTCTTTGCTGTTGTACTCTCGTTGCTTTTCTTTCTCATGCAGCATTATGAAAAAGATGCAGATGGACTCTGTATTCAACTGAAGAACAGTGTTCCCAAGATGGATTTGGCAAGTGAATGTAAGGTGTTCGAGCAGCATGGTTGGGTGATCCAGAAAAAGGACTTGGAGGTAAAACTGTCTTGACTCTTCACTTGTCCTAAAAAGATGTACTAGCCCCACTCTGCTGGAGATGCAATGAACTTAGTCACTGTTGAGTCACGAATAGAATAGAATCTTATCCAATATTAAGGATACTTTTTGATGGAATGTTTGTGATTTATGGATGATATTTAACATTGTCCCAATATCATTCTCATTTGATGACAGCTTGGTGAGACATTGGGAAAAGGGGAGTTTGGAGATGTTCTCCTTGGCTCTGTACAAGGCATGAAAGTTGCTGTGAAAATGCTCAAGAAGGACTCCCCAAAAGCATTGGAGGAGTTCTTGGCTGAAGCTGAGATGATGACGTGGGTCCCTCTCCTGAATCATGTGATGGCAGCATTCCCATAGGCTTAGAAAGCCATAAACCTGGATAATGATAGTGGAGTCTTGACAAGAGAGTTAAGGGGAATTTTCCAAATTTTCTGAAAGTTGGAGAAAGGGATGAGAGAGGCTGTGATTCATGCAAGAAGTAAAGGTAGTGAGGGAGACAGTGGTATGTGATAGATGAATTATGTTTACAAAATCTATAGATTTAAAGGATGTAAATCATTCATGGAAGAACTTGAAAAGGTCAGGGGAATGAATCCTCATTTTAGTGGGAATGCTGCATCTGTCTTAAACGTGTTACAGTCTGTTGCTGTGATGGAAAAGTGGTATCTGTGCAGGTCTCTGCAGCACCCAAACCTAGTCCAGCTGCTGGGACTGGTGATAGAGGAAGCGCACAAGGGGATGATTTATCTCATCACAGAGTACATGTCCAAGGGGAGTCTGGTGGAGTATCTCCGCTCTCGCGGACGCCTCCACATCACCCGACAGGACCAAATCAATTTTGCCTGGTATGCATCATGGATGATCCTTTTTCATAACAATCCAGGAGCTTGTTTGAACTCCATCTTCAGCACTGATGGTGGGTGGAAAAAGGTTGAAATATATGCTGAGATCATGTTTCGTTTATGAATAGGTTAAAAGGGAACAAAACACTGACAATTCTGTATATACAGACTTTATTAAACACTATTCATGCATAATTAATGTTTTTTTTTAAATGTGAGCTATGAAATTATCTCCAGAAGAAACTAAACACATCTCAAAAAGGCTTGAAAGCTATTACTGACCAGCACAGGACAAAACTTTTCTATTGACAATGTTAAAAATGATCTTTTAAGGGTCAAAATGATAGCTTTCCCTATTTTTGTTGGAGGGACTTATAGGAAGGTCATTTTTCTTTCTTAAAGAGTTCTAGAAAGATGTTTTGGCACATTTTTATCATTTCTTTGAGTCCTGTGATTCCAAGATGTTAGAAGATGCATTGCTTTGGAATTTCAGTGATACATGTGCAGCCATGTCATATTTGGAGTCAAAGAGGGTTGTGCATAGAGACTTGGCTGCACGAAATGTCCTTCTCTCAGAAGATGGAGTTGCTAAAGTGTCTGACTTTGGCCTGGCACGTTCTGAGACTCGAAACCAAGAGGGAGGCAAATTTCCTATCAAATGGACTGCCCCTGAGGCTCTCAAGTATTCTGTGTGTACCCTCTTCTGTCATTCTTTGGTCTTATCTTCTGGAAGTTATATCTCTTGTATATCTTAGGTATATATTCATGTTATTTATGTTAATTTTTCATTTTAAATAACCATTGATAACTTTCTATATCAGTATTCACTAACATTTGAAGAAGCCATTTACCTTATTGGTAAGATTTGAATTTTTTCCTTTCATCTTTTAGAAAAGAATATACATGCAATACCAGGTGTGCAGACTCACAACTTTGCTTATCCAGCAAAGAAGCCATAAGTCTCTTTTAGCAATTTTTATTTATTTATTAAATTGACTCAGGATTGAAAATGACTGATCATTTGTGAGAAAAAAAAACTAGTTCCACTATCAATACCAGAACCATTTTTCATTTGAAAGTGAGCACATCCTAAATGAGCAGTATTAATCCCTTTTTATGCTTCTTGCAGAAATTCTCAAATAAGACAGACATGTGGAGCTTTGGTATCCTCCTGTGGGAAATCTACTCTTTTGGACGGGTGCCCTATCCCAGAATTGTGAGTTCCTTTTTATTTCAGGCTCTAAAATGACTCTGTAATTGAATGAGTGCCTTGTTATTAAAGGTGAGAAAATTGTGAATTGAATTGCCTCATTCCAATCATAAATCTAATTGCAAGTTTTATTTTTATTTAATGAACCCCTTTGCTCAGTACTGTCCCCATTTGAAGACACATCTTTAAATGAAAGTGTATAGCTGTGTGTATGAAAAATTTGTGGGAGGACAGAAGTCCAATCAAAGGAAACTATGAGTATCTAGGCTGGGAAATAGAAGTGTTTCAATAATGAGCTAGTTTTGGCTTGAATTCAGAGCGCCTGTGATTATTCCCATAAAAATTTGCCCACAAAAAGTCCAAATCACAAATTAGTGATATGTGATATGACTAAATTTTATGAATAGTCATAATGAAGTGTGAGAGGTATCTTGTTCTTTGAAGTACAGTAAAATGCCAAATTAACATCCTCCGCAACAATAATGTTCTATTTCTTGTATATTTAAATTTGTTATTTATCATCATGATCATCAATTTATTTATCTACTTGGATTGACAAAGTGATTCTGTTTACTTGTGGTTGCAACAGCCCCTATCAGATGTGGTGAAGCACGTTGAGAAAGGGTATCGCATGGAGGCACCTGATGGATGTCCAAATGAGATCTATGACATCATGCGATCGGTTGGTCTTCCTCTTCAATGCGATCATTTCTGAATATTTTTTCAGTGTTTGGTCCATTACATTTGAAATGCCTTCATGACAGGCATGGGACATTGACCCTGAGAAGAGGCCAAGCTTTGAAGAGGTGCTGACAAGGCTGCAAAGTCTGCGTCAGGTCATGTGAGGTCGTACAGGCAGGATCCTGAAACAACATTGCCTCAACCTTGGTCATTCAACTGGTTTTCCTTCGTCTCTCCTTCCTGCTTTATTTTCAGTCTCTTTGGGTTGTTTGTCTCATTTTATTTAATCTCATTGGGGGTTCCTTCATGAGCCCTGTTCCCCTGTGTTGGAAGAGAGTGGCAGATCATACTGTAAAACCCTTTATTTTTTCTGCTTGGAAGTTTTTCTACTTTTGAGGAAAATATTAACATTCTCTGAACTTGTGGAACCTAGGCTTTCGTTTCTATAAACCTTAAAACTGATGAGTTTCATTATCATTACATTAAATGTTTCACAACTCAAGAAGGAACAGATCGATGTGTTCATCAAGCTTTGCTATGATATTGAGGCTGGCTTCTTGCAGTGTTCTTATTCTTACCTCGTGGAAATAAATTTCACAAGAAAAAGGGTTTTATGGTTCTGCTTTTGCAGTTCAAGATGAATATGCATTCATACAAATTTGCTGGCCAGTGATTTGACTGTAAGTAAGAAATTGCCTCCTGCTTGACAATTTTTGGTTCCCTGTGCTAGACACTTTCATCTTTCTTCATTATTTATTGCAATCTTCTTGAAGCTCTTGGGTCACACCCTGCACAAAGAATGGGAAAACATTTTTCCAGTTCTCACCGGAAACTTCACTAAATTCACATGCAGTGTTCTGCAATGCAGTGTGTTCATGCCAAGAAGCAGGCTTGAAAGAACTCACAGCTGATTCAATTGAAAAGCTGATGTTCATTCCCATTGTCAACTCTTGTGAAGGAGTGCCTACATCGCCTACTGTATCAGTACTTAAAAGCCTTGAATCTCTGTGGTTGTACTCCTTGTGTTGGGGATGGTAGGTGTTGGGAGTATTGAACTTAACCGCACGACAAACCTGTTACTGAATTGGATGCCCTTTTCCATTTTATACACCATCTTATACTTTTCGAGTTTTGGATTGTGTTGCCTTTGCTCAAGGGGAAGAAAGAAATGTGCCAAAAGCGTTGATTGATGGTTCAGCAGCATTGCATCAGTATCAAAGACTCAGGAGGCTTTTTCGCTCTTCCTCCTCCACTACCCTTACGCCTACTTTCACTGTAGGTGTTTTCAGCTAGATGTGCGTCTTGACATTTGTATGATTTTCTATCAGGAGGGTACACCAGACATGGGTGCCATTTTTACCTGCATGCCTAGAAGACATTGTGTGCTGTGCTTTAGAGGAGAGGAAATAATATTGAAAGGACCATTGTGAAGAAGAAATTCTGTTAAAGGACCAATAGAAGAATAAAGTGCTTTGATATGGAAAGGTGGAGCTCTTTACCTTCTTTGGGATTCGCCGGAATTGCAATCTGGGAAGAAATGAAGAGAGGGAGAAGAGGAGAGAGAGAGAGAGAGAACAGATTGGAGTTTTTGCTCTCCTTTGTGTTTCCGAGGGGTTTCGGGGATTAGGAGTATATGATGCTCATCATTGTCCATCTTCAATATTTCATCCCTAATCCCCCTCTTTCAAACACATTTCCCTTGGGCTTTTCCCCTCCTTATCCTTCGAACTAGAGTCAACCTTCCTTCCCGTTCTTAGACTGGAGATGGGCCGTGCGGGGAACCGACCCTTACGTCTAAGAGCAGACCTTCACTCCCACTAAAGGCGACTTATCGGAAAAAAGCGGAAAGTGAACGGCGAGCTTTAAGGATTGCCTCTTTGAGAATTGGATTACGGTATACAACTTCACACCTTCACTAATTTCATCTTTTTCAGCAAAATATTTATGAATCAATGCCAGTATGGTGTTTAGCTTTTATTTACTCATAATTATAGACTTCAATTACACCAGGTACGGTGCTGTTGGTTTATATGCTGCAACCCCTCATCCTACTCTGTCGTGGAGCCGTCATTGGCATTGGTTCAGTGTCAAAGGCCAAGGATGAGAAAGTCAACCTATCTTGGGGAATGATGGGTTTGTTGGGGTTAGAGATAGGAAAATAGGTTGACTTTCACTTTGACCCAAAAATAGAAAGGATGCGGCTCGCTTGGTCTGTGTTTATCGTTTCTTTTCTGAGGTTAGTTAGTTTGGGTTTAGTAAAAACCCAAAAGAGCTAATGAAACGTTAGTCAGAGTATCAAGCCCCAAGGTGATTACATTATTCAGTGGGAGTATAGGAAATAACGCTTACTGTTCCAACGAAAATGGGCGTTCTCTTTCTCTAGGTCCCTGCAAATTGTGTATGCTTCCTCCCCCAGTGACATGACTCGTGGGCAAAAAGAGCAGAAAAGCGGCTAACACGGCCAGTGATGGGGGAAAGGGAAGGTGGGGTGGGAGGGCAACCTCATCAACCTAATACTAAAAAAATAATTTGGGGGGCTCCCGAGTCCCTGTAGGTCGATGCCTCCGCCCCTGCATCCCCCACCCAAGACTTCTCCCACGGTGGGAATTGTGCTCCTGTCCAGAGACGCAACGCGGCTCATGCGTCCCCACCTTTGCCCTAACTTCCGTTTTGAGTGCTTGAGTGACAAAAATCTCGAGAGGACGAGATCGAGTCGAGTGAAGGGTGCTGCAACGTCATGAGGATCGCACTCTACGACCAGGAAGTCGGGCGAAATTTGGGAATCAGAAGGGAGAAAGCCGATAGCAAGTCACGGGATGGAATGAAAGATCGTTCAGTGTTCTGGAAAGGGAGGAAGTCGTATCTCGTGAGAGATGAAAGCTGCGCGCAGCTTCCTCTCTTTCAGCGTTTGCTGGGTTTTACCACGGGAAAGCTTCAAACGAAATTTATTTACCATTTGCAGTCTTGAAGCCAATCTTGAAATTCCTAGGAAATATGAAGACTCGGCTCATCGGTTCCGAAATTCATAGTTGGCATGCGTCTTACGCCGGGAAGGAATTTTCGGATCCAGACAAGGGACGTCCACGAATGGGATCAGAAGACCTGAATTCCTGCAAGGTTATTAGCAATTTCATCGAGACCAATTACTTTTTTGAGCGTCCCGCGCCGTACTGTCATTTGTCACGTGTCTGTACTGTCGAGATTGGTTTTTGCGCCGAGGAATGTTTTTTTGTATTATTCTAGTTGCCCGATAAAGAAAGAAGATGGAGCATCTTTCTCCTCGTGCGTCTGTAGATCAGCAAAAAAAAAGGAACAATGTTATCGAGGTCGGTGAAGATTAATGTGGGCGCCAGCGGAGATCAATGCGGGCGCAGTACTTTTTTTTCGTTCGACACAAACCGGATCCTCACTCTGCTGCATATATTGCCAGCCGATATCTCATCGAGTCCCCCCGCGTCAGCTCGGGCGCCATCCGCGGACGGCTTACACGACGTCGATTCGTCTGCGAAGGCAATAATCGTCGAGATGTGGGGCCCTCGCATTCACCGTCCGCAGCTGGAGTTGGTCTTTCGAGACACGACAGATGTCGCGTGCGTGCTCGGAGTGGAGGGGAGGGGGGGGGGGGTGGAGGATGGAGGAGTCTCACGAAACGTTGAGTGCCTCGTGTCCTGCTCTACCTTGCCTAAGCTTCGATCGGAGGAAATATGGCAGAATCATATTCGGTTGCTCCTCGCTCTTCATACACAGTGAAAGGTTTCCCCGACCAACTAACTTCCCCCTCTTTTCAAGTTTGAGGTCTCTTGCACTCGGAATTACATGCTATGCTTCTTGCGCTTAACGATTGGCTGAATCTGACCTTCTGTGCGATTTTAAGAGGTCATCAACGTCAGTTTTCATACGTGTTCCAACGTTTTGCGAGGCTTAATCATATCGTAAACTGTCTCTATTTCGGGCCAAAATAAAAAAATCCAAGATTGCGTTGCGAGGGCAGAGTCGCGCATCGGTTTTGGCCGGTTCATCCCAAGGAACGTCGGCAAATTTTCTCCACGGGTGTGGGCAAAAAATTCTGTCCGTAAACTTTTTATAGGCATCTCGTGGTGTCAGTCGCATCCACCGAACAACGGCTGTCGGCTCGAACGACTCCCATCGATTCGTCTCCGAACGAGACGTTGGGAGACGAACGAAAATATCGTTTAGATACGAAATATCGTTTATTTATCAATAAACGATATTTAAAGTGCGGCCCAGTCTGCTGCAACCTTAGTTACCGACGGTTAACTTTTGGGCGTTTAGCTTCGCAGAAAGGCATGATTTTTCAAGCGTGGCCCGATCTAGAGTAATTAATATTCACGAGTGCGATTAGATAATTACCTAGGGTAATTAATATTCACGTATTCACGAGTGCGATTAGAGCATCCTCGAGTTTGGGGACCGCTGCATCGTGTAAGAATCGGCCCTTCTCCCCGTTCGCACGTTCTCCCTGCTTCTCTGCGGGCTCCACCGTCGAGCGGTCGAGTCGTACGGTGATTTCACAGACGAATTCTTACCACCTTCGGCACGGGCTCCATCGGCCATTTCACGTCACAGACTTCTTCCCGACTTCCTGCCCTATAGAAGCAACGATGCCAAAGCGAACAAGAATTAATTGACGAATGAGAATTAATTGGCGAATAAGAATTAATTGGCGAATA